CTGTCAAATAAATAAAGAAAATGTTAAAAATAAATAAATAAAAAAAATAAAAATAAAATAAAATTTTGACCCCTTCTTTTCTTTGACTTTACCTTCCCCTGTATTTTTTGGTTTTTTTGAATATACATGAAAGCTATTAGGGTGAGAAATTTAATATATGTGGTCATTTGGTCAACTAATTCACCCCATGGTGTTTATTGGGTACCTACCGTGGGCACGGTTCTAGGCACCCAGGACCCAGAGGCAAACAAGACGCACCGTCCCCAGACTCATAGAATTAGTCGGGGCTGAGAGATGATATGCAAATAAGTATAATAAGCAAGGTGATTTCAGATAGATGTATATATATTCAGGAAGAAAGTAACACATAATGCTGTTTGAGAGACAACTGAGAACGGGGCACAATTATTTCTTAGACAGCACATCCTGTGTAACGAGCATCTATGAAGTACCTATTATGTTAAGCATCTGAGATACAGAGAAAGGATAAAACACACGACCTGACTTCTCTAGTGGTGACGCATGAGAAATCAAATTTTAAGTGGGTGACCTTGTGACCTGTCTTGGAGTTATCAGAGAAAACTTCCTGGGATACCCTGGACGTTAAAATGTTAATGATACCAAAAGTCTCTCTGGCTTTTGGCCCACAGTGAAATAGGGTCCCTCCCGGCTTTGTGGGAACGGTTTGGTGGGAAACATTCCCCGTGTAGAGATCTCCACTCCCTGGATTAGAACCTTAGCCTGTGTTTGCTCATTACACAAGGATTGTGGATCCGCTTCTGCCAGAGGCATTCAAAACATGCCAGGCTGGTGTTGCATAAAAAAAAAGCTTGCACATTCAGCAAGTATAAGCTGGTAAGCAGAGCCAGAGTCACTCACTTTCAAGAGGGGAGCTGTCGCTCTGCTGCCTCGGGTTGAGTGCCAGCAATGGACATTGAGAAGGTCAACTCCATGGACTTCGGAGAATTTGTGGATGTGTTTGGGAATGTCATTGAGAGATGTCCCCTGATTGCAGCTGCTGTTTGGTCCCAGCGCCCATTCTCCAACTTGGAAGATTTAGAGAAGCACTTTTTTGCCTTTATTGATGCCCTTCCACAGTCAGGTAAGGCTTCAGCACTGGACGCTGAGAATCTCTACAAAGGGATTTCAAATATGCTTATCAAAATATTTTTAGATATTTCAGCCGAGTTGCTTATCGTTGATATATTGATTAGCAATTTCTATCGTCAGGTTTAATTTCCTCAGACTTAGTAAATGGGAGTCAGACACTTGCAAGGTGTTAGGCCAAAAGTAGAGTTAAAGACATATGTTGGTCTCAGCTCCGGTCTTGATCTCAGGGTCATGAGTTCAAGCCCCTTGTTGGGCTCCACACTGGGCAAGGAGCTACTTAAAAAAAAAAAAAAAAATCCAAAAAAAAAAGAGAGAGACATATGTTGGCTCAGGTAAAGTAGCTGTTAAATGTTAAAGCTATGAGGTCAAGAGGAAAGAAGAACAGGCACTTGTCTCCTCAGGCCTCCCAGTCGCTCGGAGGCCAAAGGTCAGGCTGAAGGCCCACCCTCTCTTAGCCAAGTGTGTTCACTTTGGGAATGTCCTGTATGCAAGACAGGAGACAGCCCAGTATCAGAATATCTCAGAAGCCCAGGGGAAAGAGCAAACGGCTGACATTTTTACCAGAAAGGGCCAGTTTGGACTGGACTGCTGAGGAAAGTAAACTCATTCAGATCAGAAACTCCCTGAGGGAGTGAAGGGGAAAAGACAAAAATCTGAAGGAATTCCTCTGGAGAAAGGGAAAGAAATTGTTGATTTCCTCTGGGTAGAGAGAGAAAAGGAGACACTTCTGGGTGTGGGGTGAGGAGAGGTAGAGGTGGAGGTTTAGGCTAACCCCAATGACTCAGAATGACACAGGGCCTCACAAGGATTCAGAGGCTGAGGGTTAGAGTCAGGGCTGCTTCCGGGGCTGTCCAGCTATCTTCAGAAAAGCCTGAAGGGAAGCAAGGGACAAGGGCTGCCTTCACAGAGGGGCCTTCCACGGAGATCTGGTGTGTGTGTGGAGGGGTGGGGAGAGAATAGCCACTCCCGAGGCCAGCAAACGGACTCTTGCCTATCCGTCCAGAGTTAGACATTCGGGATGGTTTCCAATTGTCAGGTGAAGGTCTCCCAAGGAAGGAACACATTTTAATTTATTTTAGGCACATCTAGCAAGAGGGGAGGACAGTGTTATAAACTCTAACTGTCAGTAATGTCGGAACTATGTTGGCAGTCACCCACTTCTCAGGGCCTTTCTCAGCTCCACCACTGGGCTCAGGCATCAGTGGGGCTGACGGACACCAGAGCCTCATACCTGATGACTCACAGGAATGGTTAGCCCCAGCTTGATGAGCGAAGGGGCTCCCCTTGTCAGCCCACAGCCTGCAGAGCGAGCCGGAAAGAGCAAGAAGCCACCAGAACCCATGTTCAAAATGTCTGACAGGAAAATGCAGGTCAAATGAAAACCTTCTAGGCCAGAGGGAAAGAATTTTTAAAGGGTGTGAATGCCTTATGAATGGCATTTTTTCTATCAAGTTAAAAATAAAAAGGAGAAAAATCCCAATATCTGTCTTAATACCCGAGGGGTGGTGGGCTGGGGAGGGAAGGGATCACATGGATAATTTAAATCTAGTATTCACTCGTTTATCCAGTTATTCAACATTTATTTAGGGTTTACTGTGCCAGGAACTTAGATAATAAAATTAAAACTTCCCTATTTCTGTCTTCTTTCCCACCAACAGTGACCCCGATTGGTTTGAGCAGAGGTTCTAGTTAAGGTTAGTTAAGGTCTAGTTAAGGTTAAATACAATCACAGTCCTGAGCAAAGTGGGATTTGAGGTTGGCATTCACTCCCTCCCTCCTGAAGCTTGTATTTGATCCCTCTCCTAACTCAACGGGAACTTGGCATTCTGGCCAGCGTCAGAATCCTACATCACTCAGTGAACAGGATACTGGGACTTAAAGATTTAAATGCATGAAATGATTCAGAAGATGAAATCATAAAATGATTTTAGAAGATGATGGTTCCTGGTATTACCCCTTCCCCACACATTTTCCCTGGAGTGACTTTAGTGGCAGGTCAGTGGGACAAAATGACCAGAGGGAGTTGGAGGGTTGTTTGCTTCTGCACTAGACACTGTTCTGTGGAGAGACCTCCCTGTGGGTGGAGCCTGCTTCTCAGCCCTAAGCCGGTGTCCACACTCTCTTAGGCAGCTGGGAACAGAGCTTCAACGCTATATGGGGGGGTTACACTGTATCTAATCATCTCGATGATGATTATGAGGACGACGATGACGATGATGTTGTTAGATAGACAACTAATAATAACAATAGCCAAAATGCATTTGACCCTTACTATTGGTGTGTTTCAGGCACTTTTCTCAGCATTTTGCATTTGTCCACTCATTTAATCTTTATAATAATCTTATAAAGCAAGTATTATTATTATACCCATTTTACAGATGAAAAACTGAGGCACAAAGAGATTAAATAACTTGATCAAGAACACACAACTAGAAAGTGGCAGAACTGGAATTCAAAACCCTGATAGTCAACCCAACAGCTTTTGAAGCATTTTTAGAGAATCAGAAGAACAGTCTAGAAACAGTTTCTAGGGGTTTCATCTATTCATTCAGTAATTTATTCAGTTAACGTTAATGCTTGATGTCCCAGATCCTATGTTTGGCTGTTTAAATAAACAAATAAAATGGGATTTACTGACTAGTCTAGCTTTAATCTTTGCATGGTTGGAACAAAGTGGGTGTAAGAGAGTCTTTGAATCCTAAAACTAAAAGACACTTTAAAGAAAAGTTCGGGATATGGTGATCTACCTGGTTAAGGCTTTGTTTTATACGTGATCTCTCTACCATTAGCAGAAACCAAAATCTTTTTTCTAGAGTAAACCAAGGTTGGCAATCTATTTAAGTTGCACTGTGATGATTACTGGTCAGTAGGTGGCAGTCCAGGATTAATATTCAGCTCTAGCATTAATTGGCAAAGTGCCTTTTGGAGCCAATCAGTTCCTGATTTCCAGGCAAGGGGCACGCATGGCAAAAGTAAAGGGAAGATGGTTGAAACACCCACCCGTACCCACAGCCCCCATCCCCCCACCACAGTCAATAACAAACCAGTTCAGTACTGATCTGTGTTAAAAAAAAAAAAAAAAACCCTCTCATAAAAGAGGGTTAATCGTGTTATTTCCTTGTGACATTTCAAAATGGCAATGGTTCCATAATTTATTACTTAATGCTTATTTCAGAACATAGTTGTTGAATGAATTAAAAAAGATACTAATAATTTCCTGAAATGCAGACTATAAGGTATTCAGAAGAGACTATTAAAATGTGTGCAATCGGGCGCCTGGGTGGCTCAGTCGTTAAGCATCTGCCTTCGGCTCAGGTCATGATCTCAGGGTCCTGGGATCGAGTCCCGCCTCGGGCTCCCTGCTCAGCGGGAAGCCTGCTTCTCCCTCTCCCACTCCCCCTGCTTGTGTTCCCTCTCTCGCTGTCTCTCTGTGTCAAATAAATAAGTAAAATCTTCAAAGAAATGTGTGCAATCAAAAAAAATATATAGCACTCCTTCCTAAGAGTGATGTGTTGGTCAGGTGCCCACTGTGACCCAGGAATTGTCCCAGGCATTGGGGATAGAACAGTGAACAAGACAAGTGTCTACCTTCAATGAGGTACATTCTAGTAGAGACAGGATTAACATAAATAAGTGAGATAATTTCACATTCTAGAAACTATTAGAAGAAAATATGTAATAAAAGATACCTTTCTTAGGAAGTGACATTTGAGCTTAAAACCAAAAAAATGAGAAGGAAGCAGTCTAAGATCTAGGAGAAGGCCATCTAAGAAAAGGAACCTGAGACTTTTGGCATTTTGGGAGCACAGAAAGCCCATGGTACGTGGAGAATAGTGAAGAGTAGAGAGATATAAGGAAAGAGAGGTCAGGTAGAAGGACTGCGGAGGTGGTAAAAGTGAGGGGTGATGCTCATTTAGACTAAGGTTGGAGCAGGAGAGATGGAGAGATGTAATTGGAGTCTCAGAATACATTTTAAAGTTAGACTGGCAGTTTTTAAATTAAATTAAATTTTATTTTATTTTATTATGTTATGTTAGTCATCATACTAGACTGACAGGTTTTTTAAAGATATATTTAATTATTTTTGAGAGGGAAAGTGGGGGTGAGAGGGGCAGAGGGAGAGGGAGTCTCAAGCAGACTCCCTGCTGAGTGAGGAACCTGACAAGGGGCTGGATCTCAGGACCCTGAGACCAGGACCTGAGCTGAAACCAAGAGTCGGTGGAGACTTAACCGACTGTACCACCCAGCTGCCCCTCAATGGGTTTTTTTTTTTGATGGATTTGGGGGGAAGGCAGGTCAAAAACAAAGAGAAATTAAGGATAACTTCTAAATTTTTAATCTGAGTAACTGAACGGGTAGTAGTGCTGTTTTTGACAATGAGGAAAACTTTACAATTGAGAGGACAAGGTGGAAAATGAGAGCTTGTTGAGTCTGAAGTGCCTAATAATCATCCAAATGAAAATATTGAGTGTCCGTATGGACTGTAACAAAGGAACTCATTGGAAAGCTGTAGGCTAGATTGGATCTGGGTGTTATAAAAAAAACTGATGGCATTCCTGGGGCGGTCTCCCTGTTCATCAGGGAGCCTGCTTCTCCCTCTCGTCTGCCCCTGCCCACCACATCGTTCTCTCCCCCCTTGAAATAAATAAATAAAAATTTTTAAAAACAGACAAACAAAACCCAAAACTGATGGCATTTAAAGACCTGGGACCCAATGAGAACATCTGGGCATCAGGGTAAATACAGAAGGGAAGACATGTAAGTACTGAGTCCTGGGGTACTTTGGTGTTAGTGATCTGGCAAAGCAAGAGCCATCGAAGAAAGGAGGCAAGTGATGGTAACCTTTTAAGAAGGAGAGCGGAACAACCATGTGACGTTCTCCCAAGAGGCTGAGGAAGAAGAAGACAGAGCACTGGTCACTGGGCTTGGGCAAGATGTCCATCATCTGTGACCCTGATGAGTGCACATTGGTTGGTTGGTGGGGCTGAAAGCTTAATAGAATGAATGGAGGAATAGGAGGTGAGAAAGGGGGGAACACTGAATAGACAACTCCTTTGAGGAGTTTGCTGTAAGGAGGAGCAGAGATAGAGGGAGAAACTAGAGGACAATAGGGAATCAAAGGTGGGTTTTAAATTTCTTGATGGGATGAGCGATTCTAAGGCATGTTTGTGTGTTGATGAGGATAAAGCAGAGCAGGGGGTGGGGAAGAGAAATGGATGTTTGAAATTGTAGTCTTGAGATGAAAAGAGGGGCTGGCTTCAGGAACACAACAGAAGAGACAGATGATCCATTGTACCAGGAGGAAGAACACACTAGTTCCTACTGATGTCGGGACCCTGGTGGCCTGCAGTGGGGTTCTAAGCCAATTGCCTGCTCTGCCGTGGCCGCGGGGGCCTGCGCTGTTCTCCTATTGAAATAGAGAGAGTCAGTTCTGTGCCAGGTACTCTCCTAGACGCAAAGATGCATGACTTGTGGTCATAGCAAATAATACATGTCTACACCTACATCTCTACATGTGACACAGGCAGTAGGATTTTAGGAAAGACTGAAGAACAGGCAGCATTCAAATGGTCCTGTGAACCACAAGACACTCCACTGAGCTGGGTCAGTGCCTCCCCCGCCCGGGAGTACTCATGGGCTCAGTGTTGTGGGACAATAAAGGGGGAGTCTGGTTGGACGGGATCAGGTTCTCTTTTTTTCTGAGCTACCATCCTCTAATGGACTCCCTGTACCTTTCTCTTTTTATCTGCAGCTGTGTGTGTGTGTGTGTGTGTTTTCTTCTCTTTGCTCTGCCCTTTTCTGGGTCTCCCTTCTCTCCTCTTCCCCCTCTCCTCCCCGCAAACAGTGTAAAACACAGGCTCAATTCTAGGCAAATATTAACCCCAGGCGGCATTTTCAAGAGGGGAGACGAACCCAGGGAAGTGGGAAGTGAGGTGCAAAAGCAAAAAGGAAAGAGGCAGGTCTGGTGTGCGTGGGAGCAGCCCCGCTGCACCTCCATCTCTCTCTGCTCTGCTCTCAGCTAGGCTAGTCCGCTGGGGAAGGACCCCCAAAACGGCACCACCCACCAATAGCTAACTACTTCCCCCAAGCTCAAGTTGGGCTTCTAGAGAATAAGAAGTAAGGGGGGGAAAGGAAGCTGAGAGAGGGGGAGTGGGTGAGAAGACTGGGTCTCAGCTAGCGCCGCCCCCACCCCCACCGTCTACAGGCTGCTTTGAAAACCTGAATATGCAAAGAGGGGGAGCCAGGGAGAGCCCTCCGGGTCTGGACCTGTAGAGCGGCCCAGGACTCTGTTTCCCCATTCCCCAGCCGGCATTTGCACGGCCCAGGGCCGGGTGGGTGCGGAGTAGATTCTGCATGGCAGCTGCCCGCTGGGCACAGCCAACCTCCAGGGCCAGGGGTTGGGGCGGGGAGTGCAGGTAACACCTTCATTTTCGCCCCACCTGGACTGGGCTGGAGGCAGGAAACAGAAAAGAACCACCTCACATTTGCAGTGCCCCGGGGCCCGGGCCCATAAGAGGAGGTCTAAAATAGTGGTGTTGTAGAGATGGAAGAATTGGTGACGCGAGTTTCATTTAAATAAGTGTCCCTTTACCTTGTAGGGAGAGCCAGTGCCCCCAAATCGCCTGGCATTTGAGCTACTAGGTAAGTGACCTTGGGCAGGTCACCTAAGCCCATTGAGCTTTCACCGAATGCTCTCTTCAATGCGGATGTTCCCCACCCCACCCCCCAGTTATCCCGACCTGGCAACTGTCTGAGTTAGATGGTGCCATCCCAATCATTCTTTAATTAGGCAGAAACTGTAAGGATTGAGTACCTGGAGGTTTATGCCATAACTAGAGTGAGTTTTAAATGACCTCCTTTTCCAACTCATGACTAATCCCAGTGCCACGGTCAGATACTCCCAGCTGCACCACAGTCCAGTTACAGTGTTTACTACAACTAATAATAATGGCTGTTTATTGGATGTTTGCTAGCATTAGGCACTGTGTTTTAGGGAAATGAATGGTCTCTAATCTTCACAGCTACTCAGCAAGTTAGGTGTCATTACCCTCATTGTACAGATTACGGCTGTCTGCTTACCATATCTGAAATCTTGCCCAGCCTTGAGGATTCGAATTCTCTCTTCAGAGAGCTAAGCAAAATGGTTGGCCGGGGCTCAGGAAAACTCCCTGGATTCGGATTGAAAATCTCAGGTATCACACCACGGGTTTCCAATTTTAGGCCTAGGAGATTATGAGAAACTATCTTCCAAGAGAACTCCAAGGTAGTCTCTGCAGTGTCTTTGGGACCTACAGTTGGAGGAGGGGAAACAGCCTCAGACAGGGTGGGTGGTGAGTGGGTGTTATTTTCCTAAAAGGAGAAGTCACTTTCATTCAAAGGGCTGTGGAATTCCGGCTGGAAATGGGCTTCTTTGCAGTTAATCATCTGTAAGGCTCTTTGGATGCTTGATTCCAGAAGCCCCAAACTCACACTTAGGATCACAAAATCCTGGACATTTATTTGCCAAGCCCCATGGATGTTATCCCTCTGGACCCTCCCCGCCCTTCTCCTTTGGAACAGAACGAAACCCATTCTGTGGCTTTTGCAGGAAGTTTTCAGGCCCTTGTGTCCGGCCCTCTTCGACATCAAAGCCCCCTTGAGAGCAAAGGACTTTGAAAAGATACGAAATGCTCGGTCTCCTTATCGCGTCCCTGCTCCCTCCCGAGCAAGTCGTAAATTCCGAGCCCCAGTGGCCTCTCCCCTCCGCTCTTCTTGCCCCAAGGTCTCAAAGGACAAACTTGTCACTTCCCGCCCCGCCTCTGGGTCCAGGCCGAGGCCCCTGAAGTTGGGACGGAGGGGCGTCCGAAGGTTCGGGACGTGTTTGAGGGGCGGTTGCAGTGGGCACCCCTGCACCTCCAGGACACCCCTTGTTGCCCCTTCGTCACCTCCTGAAGACCCTGCTTCGCTCGCGAGGCCCTCTTCGGGCGGGGCAGGAGGCCGGGCTCGGCCCGCAGGCAGCCCGGTGCGCCCTCCCCGCGGCGCGGTAACGTGCCCCCGCCGCGTGTCTGTGCTTCCCTGCAGGCCAAGAGGGCATCCTGCGCTGCCACCCGGACCTGGCGGGCCGCGAGCTGCAGCGGGGCACGCTCACCGCCGAGTCGCAGCGCGAGCAGAGAAGCGCGGGCCTGACGAGCCTGGGCGCGGACGAGCGGCTCCGGCTGGCGGAGCTCAACGCGCAGTACCGCGCGCGCTTCGGCTTCCCCTTCGTGCTCGCCGCGCGTCTGAGCGACCCGGCGGCGGTGCGGCGGGAGCTGGCGCGCCGGCTGCACCGTCCGCCCGCGCAGGAGTTGCGCACCGCCCTGGGCGAGGTGAAGAAGATCGGCCACCTGCGTCTCGCCGAGCTCCTGGGCGCCCACCCAGCCACGCTGTAGCGGCCGCGCGAGCCCGCGACCCGGGGCGCCCGCCGGGACGCGTAGGGACGCGAGGCTGGCGCAGGCCCGGAACGGCGTCCACACGCGCACAAAGGGAGGGGACAACTGAAGCCATCGCACGAATCATGAGCCCTTTTGTCCTCCCCCCCACACACGCGCACGCTTTGCCAAAATATCTATATAGGTTCGTGCTTTGCCCCCGATTTATCCAGCTCACTGCTCCAATTCTCCACTCCCTTTGCAGCGCGTTGACACCACCCGCCTTTGTGGATTCCAAAGCGCTTATCCAGCTCCTGTTGGCGCCGCATCCTCTCCTGCTAAGCCCGAGCTGCGAAGCAAAACGGGCGGAAAAGGAATCTTTTTATTCCACAGTGGTTTGTCTGTTTTTTCTTCTCCCACCTCATTTGCTGTACCCGACATTAACATGTGAGCAGAAGTAGGTTTCTCACGGCGCCTACGGGAGCCGGAGCGAGAAAAGCAAAGTACTGATTTGGGTCTTCCGCGCCGGGGAAGCCGAGGGTGGGGGTCGGTGGGCGGATGGGAGCCTCGCGATGGGCCAGCGTTGGGAAGGCGCCCCGTAGGGGCAGGCGGAGTGGCTGCCACAGTCACTCTTGAGAGAGGGGTGGGAGCGGGGGTGTCTCCAAGGTGGATGGGCCTAAAAGTCAGGGGCGGGCGGCCTCCCCGACTCTCCCAGAGGTCGGCCCTTGAGAGTTGGCTTGACAGAACCTCAGGCTGCCCCGGGAGACCCATCGGTCATTAAAAAGTTAATAATAAAATAAAAAATAATTTAATAATACCCATTGAGTAGTGCTGGATATTCTGGCCCCCGAGGTGAAGATGAGAACCACCTCCCATAGCGCTGACAAAGCAGGTAATGGAGGAAAATGGTGCCCATTGCAATCTTTCTGGTGGGAGGAGGCCGGTTCTGAGGAGCTTATCAACCCTGGGGCTCCCGAGCTGTCTGCACTGAGGGCCAGAATGTCCACTCATGCAGAAGGGGGTCATCACACACACACTCTCTCTCACCCCCACACACTGGAAGGTCTATCCGACCCCAAAGAACACGACTTAAGCTTCTGTTGGCAGAGGAGAAACAAGCCATACCCGTCCTCCTAGATGCAGACAGGGTAAGAAGTGAAGGCAGAGTTTGGCCCTTTTGAAGACTGGAACCTCCTTTAGGGACCACCCCAGGTCTGGGGTAGCAGCGGCAACTGCACCAAGAAAACCTTTTCACAAAAAGCAGTGTGGCCTCAGCTTGGTTGGGGGGCTGAACCCCACAGAAAGAAGCCGCTCTGACCACACCAGGCATTTCAAACAAGGAACCTCCATCCCTTTCCCACCTTACAGGCGTTCTCTGCTCCGGGGAAGGGGGAAGGCCAGAAGCTGCCGTCGGGACTAGGTGGGGTGCCAGGGAAGTGAGCCGTGGCTAGCAACATCCCTGTAGACTAAATGCCAGGGCCTCCTCTGCCTGGGCCCGTGCCAGATGCCTTCCCCGGAGGCAAGAGCACCAAGGGCACACTACCCAAAGGCAGCTTGATGACTCAGTTCCTGTGCTCTAGGACACCAAGGCAACAGTGGGCCCCTCAGGCCTGGGGCTAGCCTCCTGTTTCCCTTTAGACCGGGCAACTTGGGGGCCCAGGATACAAGCGCCACGGGATGGGTCTGAGGCTCACACTGATCCACTATATTCAAGCCACCCTGTCCAACCCTAGGACGAGTCCGGCGTTGTGGGCCCCCATTGCAGTGTCTGGACTGTCCGTGTAAATGTGCTCCACCTAAGATAGCCAGGCTTCCCGGGCCTGGGGGGTGGGGGGGGGGACATTTCCAGCTGTAATTGTAGACTGAGTGTACACGAGATCTGGACCTCTCCAGCACGACCTGGGTGTCCTCAATCACAGTTACATATCAAAGCTTGTCCGAAATGGTTTCTTTCTGCAGGAGGAGATACGCTGCGGGAAGACCCTGGATCCGCCCCCTCAGAGGAGCTGGGAGGTGGGAGGGGATGCAGAGCCGGCTGAGCGGGGCTTCCCCCAAAGACTCCTGAGCACTTGTAGGCTTGCCGGCGGGCGCAGGACGCGGGACGTGGGCGCCGGGCTGGCAAGGGCCTTGGCAAAACCCGCTGGCAGCTCACGCTTTTTTCTCCCGTAGGAGCAAAGAGGCCGCGGCTGGGTCTTGGGCGAGCGGGTCACCTGTGGCTGCCAAGGTCTGGGAGAGCAGTTTTCTGTGGGCTCACACAGCAACACGCCCTGGGCTTCTGCTGGCCTTGGCCTGGCGGAGACGTTTCTCGTTTCCGCGCCCCGGTGCGCAGGATGCGGGAGACAAACCCGGATGGCGGAGACTGCGGGCCACCGTCTGGGGCCTCCGCGTGCGCACCAGCCGAGGCGGCGCGGTGGCCCGAGCGCGCTTGGCGTCTGGGGTCCCAGTTGGTGCAGATTCTAGGGTGGATAATTTAAGACTTTACTTACTAATTCGTTAAAACACACACACACACACACACACACACGCAATAGTAATGCTAAAAACAGTTGGAAGGCGAGGAGCTGATTTCAGTTTCCCTAACCCTTCAGGCCTTCCAAGCACACTCCCTTTCCAGGTGCGGGGACTGCTTCGCCAATTTTCACTTCCCTCTTAAAATGTCCAACCCCAACCCGGCCGGCGTGTGCTCTGAGCGAAAAGACCTGAGAGCGCTCCTGCTCGGAATTCACGAGCCCAATCCGAGCTTGGCATGCACATGTGTAACCGACAAACCGAATGGGGGGCCTCCTTTTATTTGCCCAGAGAAGCCCTCTTTTTGGTCTGTGTGTCCAAAAGATGTCCACGGACACTGTCATGGGAAGAAGGGAAGGGGGGGGGGGGGGGAAGCAACACAATTTCTTTGCATAAATTACTCATTTTATTTTATTTTTAAAGTTTTTTATTTATTTATCAGAGAGAGAGAATGGGAGACAGCATGAGACGGGGAGGATCAGAGGGAGAAGCAGACTCCCTGCTGAGCAGGGAGTCCGATGCGGGACTCGATCCCGGGACTCCAGGATCATGACCTGAGCCGAAAGCAGTTGCTTAACCAACTGAGCCACCCAGGCGCCCCTCTTTACTCATTTTAAATTTGACACACTTCCAGAGATCAGCCTTAGGATATCAGTTCCAATTCAAAAATAAAGAGCTCTTTTTAGAAAGTATTTACTGTTGGACAGGAGTAGATGGACACCTTCTTTGGTAATTGGAGAAAATTTTGGGATGGAATTTATGGAAAATTCGCCATTCAATAAACTAATAAACAGCAGTTAGCAGGTGTCTGAGAAAAGAGAGAAATAAGTAGGATGCGGGAAGTAGTCCGAAATGTTGCAACAGCAGAACCTGATTGTTCTGATACTATTTGGTGGGGGGAGGATGGGAGTGGGGAGTTTGGATTCCAGGAAACATCTACTTGGTTTTCTGTTTCCAGGGTGGCACCAGCAGCCTTAGTAATAATTAACATCCATACAGAGCCTTATGGGTTGCAAAGAATGTACCTATGTTCCTGTACCTATAGTTTTAGGGACTGGAACAGCTAGCTGTGTGACCTTGGGAAAGTCACCCGACCTCTCTGAGCCTCGGGTTTCTCCTCTATAAAGTGGAAGTGCTACACAGACAGTAAGTCCCCTGTCTCCCCTCCAGGGAGAGTAGCTTCCTGCTGGGCCCAGTAATTCAAGGAGAGCTGAACCTTCCCTCAGCCTCATAAAGCCTACCATGTAGGGCTTCCTCGGAACATATTTTCATATGATAAGCAAAGGTCACTCTAGGCACAGACGTTGGTGAGTGAACAAATGGTAACTGAAAGTCTTCCACGTCAAGAGCAAGTGATAACGTTTAGCTGTTGCTGACCCAAGAGCCTGATTCTCTTCAGCATCAAGAGTTTTCCTCCTGGGTGAGACCCTAAGGCCCTCACTTGAGGGACTTTAAAGCATTCTCAGTGCTCATCCATCACAAAGAATGAGAGTGGGTTATACAATACCTCCACACTGACCACAGACTCTAATTTCAGAAGAAAGAATTAAAGCAGCCCACCAGCACTTATTTTCATGACATTCACCCAATGAGTAAAACCAGATTTCTGTTCCCGAATATCACCCTCTCTCTTAAGGCTCTTTCTTTTCCTAAATCTTCGGGCTTTAAGAATATATTTTGGATATGGGGCGCCTGGGTGGCTCAGTTGGTTAAGCGACTGCCTTCGGCTCAGGTCATGATCCTGGAGTCCCGGGATCGAGTCCCGCATCGGGCTCCCTGCTCG